GGGGAAGTGGCTTTTTCCTAATTACCCTTTGGTTGGTCGAAGAAGTTAAAAATGCCTAAACAACTAGCAAGGAGATTGAAGGACTGATTTAAAATAAACTATTTTTCAACACGTTTTTTGAAAGCTGACAGCTTGACTTCAACACGTACGCAGATGTATTTGTCAGCTTGCACTCCTAGTAAATGAAATGTTCACAAACCGAGCTAACAGAAAATTTAAACCTTGAAGAAAATGTCATTTTTTCCCTCCTATAGATCTACTTTTGCAAATGTTTGTGTATGTAGTATTTAAGAGAGCACTGCTGCTCTTGGAGACAGATTTAAAGGCGCGCTCAAGACCTTTATTATAATTTGTGTTTTCCTGTAAGTAGTGCTGTGTTTGCAGAGCCATTAATCACAAAGGGTGTGACAGGATCCTGTGCGGTAAGTGCGCTAATAAACCACAGGATGTCACGCCAGAACGTAGTTATTGGCATACTGCGGATTTATTTTTTTTTTTGTAACATCGCCAAAGCCCTTGTCAAGACGACAACGCCCATACAATGATAGCAGCAAAATTGCTCTTTTGCTGTCCAGCTCAGTTTGATCAGATGTGGGCTAGTAGAGACGGTAATGAATTAAGCTTTCAAAGAGTTTTACTGGTATAAACTGTTTGGTTTAGATACATTGTCCAGGTATAACTGACCCCCGGAAGGATCTGACTTCAATATCTGTTTATTGGCAATGAGACCCAGTGTGAGAATCCTGATTTTGTCTGAATGTTTTACATCTAAATACGAGATTGTCCCGTAGCATAAAGCTGTTGTGACAAGCTGAAGGTATAATAATAAGGTCATGACTTAATATGCTGAACTGAATGAAAACCCCACCAAAGCTTATAACATAGACTTCAGAGTAATTTAATTCAAAGGAAAAAAAAATTAAAAAGCTGCTTACATCTAACTGCATCACATCTAAAGTACCCTAAAGTCCTCATACCACAGAAAATAGTAATTGAGGCAAACTAGATAATTAAATAAAATAGTAGTAATATCAAAAGGAGCTCTGCTTTGTGAAAGATCTGAATAGTAGAGTTTTATCCCCTGAAGCACAAAAGACTGGGTGACCTTGTAAGAGGCCTTTCTCCCTTTGTAGCTCTTTCCCCCGCGCATCCATAGAACTTTAACTTGGAATTAAGGTCACCAGATTCCATATCTCAGTAATGCATATTTATTATAAAAATTAAAAAAAAAAAAAAAATCAGGCATCACTCAACAACCTGCCTGTTTTCCCTTGGAGTTTCCCCAGCCATCTTGGGGGGGAAACTGTGAAAGTGTGATGTTGGGGTAGAAAGAAAGGAATTGAGCGAGGCTGTCTTCGCTGTAAAAAAGTTATGGTAAAAATAAGGTTTGCTTTTTGAAAGAGTCTGGTAACTGAAATGGTTTGGTTTTATATTTCTTTGATAACATGGTGCGTATCAAAAATGCTGTGCAAGTTGGAACCCACGCTGCTCCTTCAGGATGTTTTTCCTGTGGTCATCTTGGAAGATAAAAACCAGGTGTAAGTGTTAGTTACCAGTTAGGAAATAGAGGGAGAAAATATCATAAATGCAAACTTACTTATGTCTGTTATGCAGGGTATATTTTAAATATAATCTGTAAGAGTAAGTTGCTCTCCCTTTTTTTGCAAATTACTCAGAATTTGTGGAAGTACTTTGCTTTTGTGCTTATTTTAAATTTCTTTTCCATTTACTGCTCCAGCAATAGAGGTTAATTTGGCTCAGATTTTTGTGGAACCACGGCCTGAAAATGAGGTTTCAGACAGTCTGAGCGTACTGATGCCAGAAGAACAGTCTTGCTCCCTGTCCCGCTCAGTACTGGCCTACCGGGGAGGGGAAGAGCCTTAAGCCACCTGAATCTTCACGTGCTGCCTGGCAAGTCTGTTCCCTTGGGTTTTAAGCACTTTCCTGACTCTTTCATGGAGGCGAAAACAGCACCTTCCAGTCTCTTTTCTAGAAGTCCAAAAGCTTTCATGACTCCCTTGGACATCAAAAAGAATGAGAAAGCAAATCGGTAGCTTGCTTTTAAAACTTAATGTTGTGCATCACGTAGAGGAGACTCCGGAGAATAAAATTAGGTGGTCAGGGCCTATATTTTGTAATTTTAGACCACCAGTAAAAATGTTCAAACTACAGGAAGAACGGAACGTTAACGATGGAGGTTGCGTGGTCTCAGCATCATCTGCATTTTTCTGCACAAATTTTTTAAAGTATTTTTAAAAGATAGCATCTCATGTATTCTGGAGAGGGCTGTGGTTAAAAGCCTGTCCAATCTGAAAAATGTTTCCGATCTGAGATTATATTCAAAGGTACCTTCCTCTCCTTGGCTATTTTCAAATTATGGCTTCTTCTCATTTTTAATACCAGGAGATTATCTCATTGATTGGAGATTAATTTTTAAATTTATACAAACACACAATATCAATACCAAAAATAGAAGCCTGATCAAGGATGCGGATGGCAATGCTACTGGATTTGTCGAGGAACAGCTCTTTCTGCCTTTGTGTGATTGAACTAAATTCTGGTTGCTTCTCAGGTTTTTTATTTTCTTCTGTCTTCAAGTATCACGCGGCACAAACAGGGTTTGTCTCGATTCTCGATTGTTTGTCTTACAGATTCTCAAATTCAAGTCTTTGTAATGGATTCCTGTCAGGGAGCAGAGATGGAAATCAGTTTTTGTAGATAAATGAAGGTAACTAAATGGCTGATTAAAAAGGACTTAAAAGGCTAGTTTAGTTGTAACTGCTGCTTTCTCTCTCCCATCCTTGCTCCCCCCCGCTTTTTTTTTCTCCTCCTTTAAACCCCCTTTTTATGTTTAAGAATATTTTAATCTGATTACCAAATGACCAGTGCAGAAAACAGATATAGACGCTTAAATTAGTTTATAAAAGCAGTTGCCTAAGCTAAGCTGAAGCGATATAAACTGACTCTCGACCTTTTTTACTGATGCGAGTAGTTCTCATGAGGGTGAAGCAACATTAGCAGCTGAAGAGGTGCGCGTTAGGGACGGAGCTGAGTCCCCTACGACTCCCTCTCCATCACATGAGCGCTGAAGAAACACGCTCCAGGTGCAGCTGCAGGCCCAAACCCGCACCTGTGGGGCGGGAAGCGGCGGGGAGCGGGCGGCGGGCGGAGGACGGCCCCGACCGGCGGCGCTGGCGGTAGCGGCC